AAAAAGAACATTCCCATATTTATTTTTACTAGTAAAGTGCACGTGCGATGCACGTGGCGACGAATGTTTTTTACCGATTAAATTTAGTAAGATAAATTAATTAATTTATTACACATATGATTGCAGGAACAAAACAAAATAAAATGTAGAATAAATAAACTTTGCATGCATTTTATTTTAAATAAAAAAAAATCATATTACAACTCCAACAAAAATATATGAAAAATGAGTTCCTAATGAAAAAACAATAAATGACTAAATAAAGACATAATGTATATTATAGATGCATGAGTTCTTTTATTTATTTATGTTAGATTCAAGAGTCGTTTTCTTTTATTTTGGTTTTGATGTTCTCATAAGAAACATTCATACTCGTTGAATTCTAATAGATCAATAGTATTGCAAAATTCTTCTTAATTAATTTGGCAAAACGTCTGTTTTATTCAACACTTAGAAATACTTTAGCCAAATATATAGTCAAACTTTATGATCGTATGATCATTATAAGGTACTTCTATTAATAGCTCATAAATATCTATGTGAAATAAACAATTGTAGCATTAAATTTCTTGATATTTGTGTCATTAAAATTCTTGATATTTTTTTTAATCACGGTATAAACTACTACATTTCTCTCTCTCTCTCTCTCTCTCTCTCTCTCTCTCTCTCCACATAGACAAATTGATACTTACCCCATGAGGTGGGAACAAATATCATCTCTAAATAAAATTTGATTTTCCAAAATCATGTACTTCTCTGAAGGTGCTAAATTATTTTTTTGAAATCATCACACATTACATGAAAATATGTACTCTAAAACAATTGTGCGTATGATCGAGCACAATACACAGTTATGATTGTAAATATTATTATCAAAAAGTGACAACTTGTTCAACATTCACAAATATTTTAATCAGTATCAAACAGTCCCTTTTCAGTGTTATTAATTTGGAAGATAGATACCTTCCATATTCTTCCGGATTTGCAATATTTATGTGTCTAATAACATTTATTGCATTTATTGTCCAATCTTTTGTATCATAACTAATGCTTGAATTTAAAAAATTCAAGATAAAGATCCATTATTAATTCTTCAACAATAACAAAACAAAACAAAACAATGAGACAATATTGAGAAGTATTTGTCAAAATATTTCAGATGAGAAGAATTTGAATTATACTATATTATGATACTCTTAGTCATCTGTTAACTTTATTATTATGAAGTCATTATTAAAGTTTGTGGTCTAACTTTTGATAATATCGAATCATTATTTATGAGAACTAATTTCTTATAGAGAACATATACTTAAATGCTAGCAACAAAAAAAGTAGTAATTTCAAAAGATTTTTGTTTCTTGATATTAGTATTCATACTTTTCTAAAACAATTCAGAATTTTTCTTTTCCTCATTGCATTACTATTGGTTTACTTGTTTTTTTTTTTATTTTATTGACAAATAATATTTTATTTTTTGAAAGAATTAGAGAACATTTATATGCAATGCGTTCTTTTTACGTGTTTGATAGTAATAATATACTTGATAAAAATGTAGTTTTATATTGTTTATAATATTAAAAAGTTTTGAATTTATTTTCATGTTCTGATAAAATATTAAGTAAATAATGTTTATATTGATATATTAACAAAAAATACATTTTACAATCATTATGGTGTTCCCTTTCAAGCAATAATTGAATAATAGTTTAACATACAACCGATTTATTTTTTTCTTTTAATTCACATATTTAATATTGGTAATAGTTGTACAATTACATCTAGTTGACTTTTTCCTTAGTACGAATATTTCAATCTATGTCAGAAAAATATACCACAAATTTATCTAATATTGTTTTATAATTAATAAAATTAATTTAACATGGATCTATAATTATTTTA